CAGCTCCCTGCCTGTGGCCTGGGAAAGCAGTCGAGGACAGCCCAAAGCCTGGGACCCTGCACCTGCCTGGGAGACCCAGAAGAGCTCCTGGCTCCTGGCTTCAGATTGGCTCAGCACCAACCGTTGTGGTCACTTGGGGAGTGAATCATCAGACAGAAGATCTTCCTCTCTGTCTCTCCTCCTGTCTGTATGTCTGACTTTGCAATAAAAATAAATAAATTTTTTAAAAAGAAAAAAAAAAAGAAAATGGTCTTCCCAAATATATGAAATGACTTTTCACACCATCATTTTCTGTGCTGTACTATCTATTTTGATGCAGTCCTATTTATTTATTATTTATTTTGCTACTTATGTCTGTACTTTTGGAGTCACATCTAAGAAATCTTTGTCCAAATAACACAGAGCTTTAGTCGTATGTATTCCTTTCGAAAATGATTAAAATGATCTTCTTACTGTTACATAGTCAATGTTTATTCCTGCAAACACTATTTTTTGGTGGACAGTGGGGAAGTATCAAAATATACACTTTCCTCCATTGTGTGAGTGCAAAACAAAAACAGAAACATCAATAAAATCCCTTAGATGATACAGAACAAATGGTGTGTTAGCAGCACAGAGAGAACAGGGCTATATGAAACATCGACGAGCTGTAAACAGCAGCACAGAGTGTAATGCTTTCTGTGTGAAGCATGGAGAAGTGATGATAAAGGAGACCATGATGGAAACACAACACATGTGTTTAGAAAATACTGAGGAAAGAACTTAAACACATACTAGTTCTGCTTCTGCTTAAGAAGTAAAAAAAAAAAAAATCCAAGAGATAATCACCCCTGTTTTAACACGGAGAAGTCAGTTAACCTACAAAATTCTAACTTTTGTAAAATGCATTAGAAAGCTGAGGACATAAATAGAGGAAATGAAATTGATTTAGCACTCTTCCCAGACCTTTCAACTAAAAAGAAAAAAAATAATAAATAAATAAATAAAAGTAGAACTACCACATAATCCACAATCCCACTTCTTGCTTTTTATTCAAAGTGATGGAAATGAAGTTCTCTTAGGCGTACTGTCACTCCAATGTTTCAGGCAGCACTGTGCATAACAGCAAAAACGTGGACAATTTAAACACTCATCAGAGTTGTTAAAGAGCCTCTGGTATACAGATAAAACTGGAAAATTTTGTCTAGGAAGTTATACTAGAACTGAATGCCTTGGGCATATAACATGTCTGATGTTAAATTTTTATGCATTCTTGATAAAGTTACTTTTTCTGGAACTCGAAAATAGAGCTCTTGGTAACTAATGGTAAAAATAAATAAACAATATGAAAAAATATTCATTATCCACTCTATCCTGAATTCCTTCCTATGAGGTAAACACTTAACAACTAAGGGATATGAATTTTTTGTTGTTGTTGTCTAACCCAGAGCAAAAGGAACGAGGTCAATATGCACCTGTGTGGAGCAGAAATTCAAAGTTTTACAGTGGACGAAGCCATTTTGTGACTGAATCAGGTGTCTGCACATGTGTCAGCTGTTCAAGGAAAGGGGAGATAAGGCAGGATGTGGATGTTGCTTGTCTTCCTCTCTTGGCTGTGAGTCATCCAGACTCTCCAGTTTCCCAGTTTGAATCTCCCAGGGCTGAATACTGTAAATCACGTTCTAAAAATGCATGTGTCTCCATTTCAGTTTCTTGTCATTCTAAAGTGGAACATTTAACCAGTATTCGTCCACAAGACATTGACCTTGATGTTAGAACTTGAGCTTTCATATCCTGGCAGTGGGCTTTGATTTGAGGACGTTAAAGTCCCCAACAAACAGCTGGATGTCAGCGCAGCCTGTTTTGAGAAAAGGATTTCATCTTGGAAAAAATGAGTAAAATGTAATTTTACTCCTAATAACGGCATTATCCATCCTTTTCCCCCATCCCACTTCCACATGTCAAGCGTTATCTATCTGTCTGCCACAGAGGAGAGTCGCTGCAATGGGAAGGAGTATGATGAAGGATGGAGGAGGAGGAAACAATAGTCATTCTAAAACAACGGCTAGACTTTTCTTCGTTACTGTGATGATTAACTGCACTTCTACTGAAGTTACTAAGATAATCAATCTTAGGCTCAGCTGTTTAGAAGAATACACAGATAGATTCATGAAAGGCATGAGGAAAGGTCATTTCATCTCTAAAATCCAGTTTTGCTAATAAGTGTTTAAATGCATATGAAATGAGAAAGGAACACATTTATTTGCCTAGTAATTCCACATATTGATAAACCTAACAAGAATACACAAACAAGTTAGTCACCTGACTCAACTAATTAGTAATCAACCAGTCATAAGATCTGACTGTGTTCAATTGGAAGTGGCCAATAATTTTCTGAGACCAAAATACTTAAAGTACTTTTAACTACATGCACAGCAATTATTAATCTTCCAATACATAAATATTCATAATTACTACATATGATCATAAAATGTTTAAGTTTGCATAATTCTAAATTCAGTTTAAGATATTTGTAATCTCTGCTCAGCCACCCCAGAGAAAATTTCAAGGGGGTCAGAATATGTCTAGATGTCCAAGGGTACCAGTAGCACATTAATGAGCTGTATTTCTATTTACACTTCTATCACCAGAGCTAATTGTTAGTTATTTTTAAGGAAAATGTCATGAATTAATTAACGGCACTTGGTAAATGAAAGCTGGTTGCATTTCTTAAGTATGCTCAAATTTCACAAGCGTTATTTCACAGCTTACATTCAAGATCATTTAATATTTTCATAGGATCACACTTCTGATGCAGGAACAAAATCTTTAGAAGACTTCAAAGAATTGGTTTCCAGAAGCAAAGTCAACAAAAGAGTATAATTCGTGAGTAAGCTGATAGTTCATCTCTAGAGCATTGATTCATGTCTACATTTTAAATGAAAATAGCTGAAGGACAGAGAGATACTTAACTATTTAATATTTCTAATTTTGATTTTTCTAAACATTTCACAGACCCAAAATATAGAACCACATTTTCACGTGTCTACCATGGTATCCCTGCACGCTGCCCTTTCAACACTCCGTCCTATGTAGTGGATTGTTGGAAGACTGGATTTAACAATTGTGTTGCAGAACATAAAATCCCATCATCACTTGTTCTGATTTTCCTTTCAACCTGGTCATTTCTCTGCTGTGTTTTCTCAGCACAGCTTGTCACCTTTCACACCACATCTATTTGAACCACTGCTCCAAATCTGGGTTTGTTCCTTTTCCTTCCTCCTGTCTTCTCTGAAAGAAGGGGACCTTGTCTTTAATCCATTGTTCAAACACAGGTTGGATGTCCCTGTCACATTCTATTCCTTTTCTACAGTTAACTCAAAAGTCAAGGAAAACTGAAAAACAATGGCAACACTCCTAAGCATTTGCCAGCTTTAAAATGGCATGTTGCCTCTTTTTCAATGAAGTCAAAACAAATGTGGGACTGCTCAGGAAAACACAAGTTAGCTGGTGATGAAAAAAGCCTCGGTTAATATTACCCTCTTTGGTAGTCATCGTAAGATAACAGCCAAAATAATAACAGTATAATGGGAGCTGCCTAGACTTGCTCATTCAGTAACAGACTTCTAAACACTTAATCTGTACACAGTGTCACTAAATTTGTGAGGAAACAGAGGCGTGGACAATCAACTATCACAAAGTTAGTGAGCAGCAAGCATGAACCAGTTTAGCCGTAGGGTCTGCCTTCCTAACTGGACTGCAGGTACTACTCTTCTATTGCATGGGTGTGATTGTGCATTTCAGTGGCTGGAAGGAGATCCCTTTGCTGCAACAGGGGTCTTCAGAAAGGGCATAGAAATTTCATATGAAAAAAAAAACAGATACTTTTAAAACCTTTGCATGCAAATAAACTCATAATCCTATTTTCTGTGGAACTTTGGAAGTATGCTCACAGCATGTTTTATTTTACTAAATACTTCACTGAACGTAAGTTACTTCCACCTGTCTTACACATTCAGCACTTTAAAAAAAAAAAAAGTAGAGGAAAGAGAAACTGTCATCCTGAGCAAAGCAGAAATGCCCAAATAAGGGCAGGGTCTAAAACTACATTTCCCCTGTAGCAGGCACAGCATGTTGCTGCAAACCAGCAGTGTGCCTTACAACTTTTCGAGAACCTACTGGCCTACCTGCCATCAAAGCACTGCATATCATAGGCTTCACTGTTAACAAGCAAGTTTCCAATAGTAATGGTGCCTTGAAAATATGAATTAATTCACGTGCATAGGGCAGACTTCAATGAAAGAGCTGCTGGCCCTGGCAGGCCTTTCCCAGGAGCACCTTCTCTACTGTTCAGGAACTGTACAAGTGACCTCTCGAGATAACCCTTCTTTGAACTGTCAAATCAGGAGGAATGATCCTGCTGGAAGAAATTCAAACCAGGTTGGAAGACTGAAGCATTTACCAGAAAAGATCCCTGAGGTTTTACCTAGTTTTCTTGTAAGGAGACCAGCTCAGATTGTGGATGCCTCCTTCCTCCCAATGGCCTTCTCTTCCGGCTTCAGTGCCCATAAAATATATGTATTAGGGAAATCTTTTCCATATACAATGAAAAATGGTAAGAATAGAGCCTTGGGTTAATCACCTATTTTAGACTGATTACAATATTCAGGAAGCTTTGTTTTTAACACTATTTAATCTCTTCCTTTTGTTTTCTGCCCACAAAATTGCCCCTTCAAATCAAAACAACATCAACTCTAAATGTAAACACTAAGATCAAGTTAGCCATTCAGATAAAGAGAAAATCTGTTCTGAAATTACTTACTCCCGATCCAGTGTCAATTTGGCTCAAAATCAAATTAGTTTGAAAAAAGAAAAAAACATGTTCAGCAAACTATAATTATAAAACAAGCATAAACAATGAACACATATCCTCTTTGAAAAATGTCGGTTACATAAAAATCCAAGTTGTGAAAAGCATGAATTCTTCCCTTTCCCAAAGCCAGACAAAGACAAATACTCACGGTGTCATGAGACTTATCCTTGACATCATAGACCGTTAGCTTGATTTTGGTCTCCTCATAGATGGGATACTCAGATGGGAATGTGACACCCGTCAGAAACAGCGGGTCCCTTGTTCCCTGTAAGTACACAAGTAGGCAGCTTTGATTCAGTAAGGCAACAACTGCAGTTGGCAGCATGCAGTGACACCTGAGAAGGCAGAAAGTGTGCCTGAGTGTGTTTTTCTAGGAAATGATTCTACACCAAGAGAGATCTGAACTCCCAAATGTCACTAAAGAACTACAAGGCCTAGGCCCCAAAAGCACTGATATAATAGTTGATAGCCAATTGATCTGGTAGGACCTGCACCATCCTCAGGGCTGTTGATAGTAACTCTTGAGAAACACTTTATTTTCATTATAAGCAAAAGTTGTCAGTATTTATAATACATTTAATACATATATTTGTAATTTATGTAGATAATCTGAGGTGGATTAATCTAATTAAAATGAAGTTATTTTCTCATGCAGAGCCATATGATAACCTTATACTATCTACTTTATTTCCTTTACGTAAGAATTCATGCTAAGCTACACTGGTAATAACCACTTGGTTTTAGATGCTCATCTATAATTTTTCACCCAAACTTACTTGCAAACTAATGGAAGAAACTCTAAATATGATGGATTTGGAACTATGAATCCACTAGCTCAGGATTCAGGGAACAGGACACGTCTCACAGCGACTCGCAATTCATTTTTAAACAGCTGACAGTCAACATTAAATCTTGTATGTGTGGGGGTGGGGGCCAGAGTACCCACTCAAACACAAGGATGTTTATTAGAGTTCTACTAATCTGTTGCCTAGGCAGGTTTCTCACAGCCTGAACTTTTATTCATTGGTCCATTCTTTTATTCAATATTTTTAAAACAGACAAAATTTACAATATGTGCTCTATAAAACTTTGAAATGTGCTGATTTCCTATAATTAAGATAGTAAATCTTATATATAAGTATTTTAATCACAGTTTTAATAAATGGATGCAAACAAAAGTCAATCAATTGACACTTAAAATTCTGACAACAGTTTTAAATTTTTCAGTTAATTTAGACTACTTGGAAAAGCTTTTCATGTCAACTTAACGCTTCTATGATTTTAGCCAAAGTGTCTTTACAAGAATCAGACTACATTAAATTTAACTACAGTGGCACTCTAACTCTTCATAAAGCAGCAATGAAACCCAGTTTCCAATGAGCAGATTCCAGGCTACAGGCAGTATCTGGGTCATTCCCATAATAGACATGACTCAGGCCCAGGCTGAAATCAGTTATTCCACCAACCGCATCAAAGCAGCAGTCAGTTCTAACCCAGCCAGGTCTGGAGGCCGCCTTAGGTGCTCACAAAGAAACTCCTTATTGCAAACAGGGGTGGCTCACAAGTCTAAGAAAAACAAGCAAACCGTAAGGAGTTTAAAGTATACTTTCCCGGCCTCACATGTTCAGTAAGCACCTCTCACTCAGCAGGCTTGTGAAATGTGTGGAGCACAACCATCAGAAAGGAAACGCTTCCTCTTTTGAATGGGATCCAAAACAATAAGGAGCTTCCTCCTGACACATTTTAAATGTGTATTAGTAACAATAAATGTAAATAGGAAATCTCTCATCTGATGAGTAAGAGTTACACCTTTAGCCTTGAAGCACTACAGGTTAGTCACCCACCTTTCTTTGAAAACACAGTAACAGCAGAGAATGGAAAGTTCCCACCGGGGGTGAAGCAGACAGGGGAAAAATGGAAAGGGCAAAAACCCTGAATGTGTTAAAACTCTCAAGGGCACGATACAACTCCCCTTTCCCACAAAGAGGATATTCTTTGATTTTAAAGTGTTATTGTGAGTGGAGTTTTGTTTTCTCCTTAACTTTCTCTACTTTGTTCTCAATTTAGGAATCTGAAAAGTGGAAAATTTTCTCTTAGTATGGAAGAAACCTAAAGCCTTTTGATGAAGATGGCAAGTTCCTCCCCCATTTGTTCATTCTGGCAAGTTACCAATGTATGCCTGATAACATGAGCTGTGTGTTCCTAATGACAGGCGCCTGTAACATAGCACGGTACGGACCATTGTCTAGCTCAGTTCAGCTGTTTGCTGAGGGGCGGGGAGGGAGAGACCAAGGAGAGGCAGAGAGAGGAGAATAATGCCCGCGCTGCTCTGTCAAGCTCACCTCCACAACTTCAGTGCTGGCGTATCTTGTCAGACTCTGCTGAGCAGGGTGTATTACTGAGATCTGCACCACTGTATTCAGTTTCCGATCACGGACAGGAGCCACGAGATCCTTGCATGCTGGCAACCGCAGAGAAAAGAGAAAGAAAGAAGAGAAAAAAAAAAAAAAAGCTAACACCGTATCTCCAGGAAAACTTTCGTCCGGGGATTGAAAGTAGAGTTGAGTTCCCGCACTGGAGGAAATCTCCTGGGACTCTGGCTGGTTTTAAGAGGAAGTCCTTTGGAAGTACCTTACAGAAATAGGAAGTCACGTGCCACGTTGCTGAACCGAGAGTTCGTTTCCACTGACCACATTTGCTCTCATTCAAGGCTTGACTGCTCCGAGGATCCTGACTCTCTAGTGTCATGACTCTGCTCTAAATGAGTCCCTTGGATTAGTCATTAAACTCTGGTGTTTCATATATGTGTGTGGACACAGTAAGTTTATTTTAGCCTTGCCAGGGACGCCGGGTTCTTCACTAACGCTGAAGTGATCAGTTAAATGTTGGCATGCACATGTGAATCTTACCTATACGTTCACTGAAATTGACTTCCTGCAGTCCTACACAAGTCTGGGGCAGAACTCAAAGCAGGAGAGGAAGCTGACAATTTGTTTTGTTTTAGTTTGGTTTGGTTTGATCTGTTTTGTTAAAAAAAAAAAAAAAGGAAAAGGAAAAAAGGCACTGGAATTAAAGCCAAGCTAGAGTTCAAGCAAGTGGAATTAAAGAGTTAAAGATGGGTTAATAGTTGCTGCTGCCACCAAAGTTAAGAACTTTCCCTTGAGCAACTAAGCTCAGGTTACAAGCTCTCTCCACTATACCATAATTACTTGAGTATTTTCTCCTCTCACATATCATTCCTCCAATTTTCAAGAGAATCCAGAAAAACCCTCAATTTTAGCAAACCTAACATCTTTTCTCTTCACTCAATTTCATGGCTGGAAGATGAGCTGCTAAATGCGATGCTGAATGCCCTCATCGGAGGCAGAACAAGTCTGGCCCCAGTGGTACCTAGGACAGACTGCAACTATGGATGGAGGAGCTCAGAGGGATCTTTAGGGCCTGGATTTCTAGGTGAGGGTGTGCTGGGCTGCAAACACCTGTCCCCCCACTGCTGTACCCACTGCAGGAAAGAGGTGCGGTGGGGAACATTTAAGCCAAGTTGTGGCACTGCCTTCATTTGCAGGGCTTCATCCACTGTGACAAAGGTAATATGGCTTTAGTCTGAATCTTGAAAGTAAAGGAAAATACAGATGCAATTATCACCTTTCAATCGCTTTCAGATCATCTCATTTATAGAAGCTGGGCTCAGACGTAAAAAAAAAATTAAAAAGCAGCTTCTTTGCAATAAAACAGATCTATTTGTATTTTAGCCCCATGAGTTTAAACTAGACAAAATTATTTCACTTCCCCTCTTTTGTTGTCAAACTCTAGGAACCTCTCACTCCTGTTTGGCTTCAAAAATACCGCTCCCCCCACACACACCCCTTATTTAAACCATGTCTTTAAGAAAGGCATTAGAGCTTAGAAAAGCATGTATACAAGAAATAGTACCTAGAATGTATTTAACTACCACAACTTTTAGTTCCTCTAGATGTCTTCTTCTATCACAAAAATGTGTTTTGAAATTTTCACTCACAGATCTGTTCAAGAATCTTTAAGTGGCTTCTGTGCACCTTAGGCTAGAACAGCAAGAGTTCCCACCTTCTGGCATTCTGCTAATGGCTTCTCCTTTTGGAACACAACTCTGTGATGACTTATCACCACCCCACAGAATCTATATCTTTAAGAAATACTGATGAAGCTTTCAATGATGTCAACAAGACACCGGAAGGAAGGAAACAGCTAGATTTAAATGTGACTGCTCTTTAGTGGTTCTTTTGATCATTTCTTCTGCTTGTGTTTAATTTAATCACCTGTTTTCTCAGATTTCTACTCAAAGTCAAAAGCTCCTCATTCTTGTTTGTCTTTCACTGTTTAGCAATATTAATGAAACTATTCTTTCAATTTCACAATGGAACCATTTTATGCCCAATGCACACATGTTGCCTGCATGCTGGTCGTATCTGCTGCAGAACATTTTGGGTGCAAGTAAGCCACTTATTCCCTGACTTCTTATCAGATTTGGTTGTGGGCTGTGCTTACTTCTCAGAAGCGAGCAGCTGTTCCCCATCTCATAAGAGCAAATCGCAGACTCACTCCCCATTAAGACAAAAACAAAACAAAACAAAAAACTATTAAACTGAAATAAGCTGTTCATTCCAATCTGTAGAACCCCCAATATTAATGAATGAAAATCAATAAAATGGAACTTTGTCTTTTATTGTATTCTATATCTAAAAGCAGACATAAAACACCATAACGGCAGGTCATTGCTTAGAATACACTCATCTCTTTTCTTCCCAAAGTCCACAGCATGTGCTATTCATGAGGATCACACACAAGATGTTCGGGAGAGATTCTGAGACTCACAGGTTTCCTGAGCTATAGCCTCAAACTCCCTCTCCTTCCTAATACTCTCAGATAATCTACTGCCTGGATTCTCAGTAAAAGTGAAAAGCCAGGACATGGAACAAAAGGACTTTTCCTATGCAAAAATAACCTTTACTAATGTTTACATTACTGTCAAAACTAACCAGTAATTGGTGTTTTATTATCATGAAAAGTGATTTTTAGTAATCCAAGCAAACTTACTTCCTTAAAAACTGTTGCTATTCTAATATTTCTTTGTAAATGCAAAACCAGAATATGAGTTGATATTTTGCATTCAATGAAATCCATAAATATTAAAGATCTAAATATGTAGAAATCATCCCACTACCAAGGTGATAAATGCGGAGTAATGGTATTGTCTCATGAAGTATTTTTCATTGATCACTGTAAAACATAACCTGAATGGAAATTATGTAGATGACAATGGAGAATCTTTTAAAAAATCTCTTTACAGAAAACAAACTATGTTATACCAGTTTTCCAATCACACCACTGCCTGTTACTCAAATAAAACTAGGCCAAGAATGGCTTACCTTATTTTTAAAGGATTTATTTATATTATATTTTAAAAAACAATGAGGGGGCCCAGTGCCATGGTTTAGTGGCCAAAGTTCTTGCCATGAAAACGCCAGGGATCCCATATGGGTGCTGGTTCTAATCCCAAAAGCCCTGCTTCCCATCCAGCTGCCTGCATGCATCCTGTAAAAGCAGGATAGCCCAAAGCCTTGGGATTTTGCACCCACATGGCAGACCCAGAAGAGGCTCTGGGCTCCTGGGTTTGGATTGGCTTATCTCTGGCCATTGCGGGCGATTGGGGAGTGAATCAGTAGATGAAGATCTTCTTCTCTGTCTCTCCTCTTCTCTGTGTTTCTGTGTATTTGATATTGCAATAAAAATAAAATTAAAATCTTAAAAAAAAAACAGAGAGGAGGGGACACAAACACACACACACACATACACATTTTGAGAGAAAGGGGCTAAGAGAAAATATATGCAATCCTTAGATAACTGGAACTGGAACAAGCCAAATCCAGGAGCTTCATGCTGCTCCCCCATGTAAGGGAAAAGGGCCCAATCACTTGGGCCATCTTCCATTGCTTTCCCCAGAATACTAGCAAGAAGCCAGATTGGAAATGGAGCTCACAGGGATTGTGCCATAGCACATATTAGCTTCACTGGCTGCAACAACACTCTGAGCCCAAGTCAGCCTCATTTTATGAGGCGTAGGCCAGGTGTTAGGTGCAGCATTTAAAGCAGCTACTTGCTTGGATCCAACCAGCTTATATGGTGAGCTGTCCCCGGGCCTGCCTGGGCTAAGGGGCTGCTCCCTTCAGGGTGAGTACACTGAGGGGACAAGTCTCTATGACTGGGTAGGTCCTGAGCCCACCCACTGCCCTCAATGGGCAGTGAAAGGGGTTGGGGAGGGGCACGATTTTGGGCCTCAGGTTTAAACCTCCAGCAACCTCCTGGCTGCTGGTGGGCCTCAGGACAGGGCATCTTGATCCCTACTCCAGCCACCACATGCACGTGGTAAGCTGTCCCTGGGCAGCCAGCATGCCATTTGGCGCCAGGCTTCGCCTGCTGGCTGCCCAGTTGGGGAGCTCTGGGGTTTTGGTTCTTTGAATTGCTGCTTAGGTAGCTCCAGGTTGAACCCACTGTGCTTCTGGGATATGAGTCAATCCTAAAGATTCCCAATGACAGTAACTCTTCCTTTGAAGAACTTGTAATCACTTAACAATGCTGAGCACCAAACACCAGTTCATGCAAAAGCTAAGGCTCGGGGCTTGTCCAGCAGGATATCCTATTACCTGACATGATGATGGATCAGCAGAGGGGTCACATTAGGCAGGGCCATGACATTAACTAGCACTCCAGAACCATATCCAGGGGTAGATTCTGTGGACGAAGTGTGGGCCATACCCTGTGGAAATTCTAGCCCCACTGGTTAGCTCAAGAGTTAGGGTGGTGATGGACTAAGCTAGGTATGAGCAAGGAGTCTGCCATCAATCACAGGTAAAGGAACCCGCAACAGTCTGGACTGGTCAAGGCAGCAGCACCCGAATGTGCATCCTAAATAGGGTGTGGGGTGGGCTGGGCTGCAACATTCACCAGCTCATACAAGACCAAATGGAAGGCCAGACTGTGCTGGGCACTGGCCTAATGTGTAAATTGGTAATGGAATGGGATGTACTGGGCAGGACTGAGCAAACCTTAGCCTACAAGTGAAACTAGAAACCAGCATGGAGCACAAGTCATGCCGAGCTAGGCTCTTGCACCTACTGGTCTGTGAGAGTCAGGGACGCTAAGCCACAGTGTCTAAGGCAGAGGCCGGGACAGGTGAGGGGCTGAGTCAAGCTGAGTCAGAGCAACCACTGGCATGCGTGTGATCTATGGCTGGGAACAGGCCTGGTTGGGGAGCTAAGGGGACACCCTAGCTGGGTGGAGGTTCCCACCAAGGGGCGCATGTGCTGGAATGGGGGCTGCATTCTAATCAGGAAACAGTTGTAGTCTCCCTTGGCACTAGTGTGGACTGGGACTGGATGCACCAAACCGGGCCAGACCCCAACACATTTGGTGTCCTGGAGGACC